AGAGAAACATACACTAAAAGCTCGAGGAGCACCTTACCGCAGTCCCAGACTTGTCAGTTTTATTAGTTCCCTTGATATGGTAATAAGACCCAGAACGTTTCTGACCGGGCCCTAAGCGTTGACGACTCGTGCCAAAAATAGATGATTGATTATTTTGGATACGTTTGCATAGATAGGCTCTGCCAGTCTGATTAGCTGCTTGACGGTCAAGTGAGCAGTGCCTTTTCCCATATTTCTTATGGCTCCGGTTTTATTTCCTGTGAGTTCAATGTATTTGCACCACTACTGTTATCGCTACTGCTACTGCTAATTCTCCTATCCAGTAAAGCTGACACAATTGTACAGTCATCCTTGGCTTTTAAGTTCATGTTTCTTTTGCAGCGTATTCCACAGTTGTTACAACCATCAAGCGTCTATGCCAACCGACTGTTCGAAAATCAGCGATTCGCAGTCGAACTAGGAAATGGATAATGCAAAGGGACTTTCAATGGAGGGAGTTCAAACGCTTATCAATGTTCCAGCATTTGGGAAGCTTACAGTCTCCTTCAAAACTACTGTACAAATATGGTGCGGAAATACAAGCACAATTATCATGATATGCTGGCGAGGAAGTTTATCGCAAACCCTAAGCTACTATATAAGCATGTAAACGCTTTCCGGAAAGTCAAACACGGCGTTCCGATACTAAACTCAGCAGGAAATGTTTCAGCGACAACCAAGGAGGCTGCAGAAATGCTTAGACTACAGTACTCGCAAGTGATCAATGTGCCTGGTAACACTGGGTTCGTACTTCCCCGTTTGCTGGAACATATTCATCACCCAATACTGAGATAAATTAGCTTTTCTCCCGAAAGTATAAAGGTAAAGCTCCTCGCTTTGAAGAAAAACTCATCACCGGGTTCAGATAACATTCATCCACAAGCCCTTATCACGCTGGCAAGTCACAGCCGATCCTTTGAGTGAGCTATATTAAAATCTGTTTGAAGATACCGTACTTCCTCAGGTGTGGAAAGACGGTATCATTTCAACAATTTACAAAGATAGATGCCGTAGTGACCCAGCCAACTATCGACCCGTCACTCTCCTTCCAGTGTTGTCCAAAGTCATGGAATCCATTGTTGTAGATTCTGTAATGGATCATCTGGAGAAAAATGACTTACTATCCCCTGCCCAGCACAGGTTTCGAAAAAATCATTCATGTGCAACTAACTTGATTTTGGCCCGGGACGAGTGGACTTATGCTGTAGACTAAGGCAAAGAAGTAGACATTATTTACCTGGACTTCTCTTAAGCATTTGAGAGAGTAAATCATCAAATACTGATATAGAAGCTGTATAACTATGGAATCCGTGGATTCCTACTTGGTTGGATCGAGTAGTTTCTTCGCCTAAGTACCATGTCAGTTCGTGTTTCCAATTCACCTTCTGATCCAATAGATGTCAACCGTGGGGTTCCACAAAGATCTGTGCTAGGACCACGTCTTTTCCTTGCCTTTATAAATGATCCTCCAGACGTCCTCGGACCATAAACTCTGCTGTTTGCAGACGATGCCAAAATATGGAGGACAATAACAAAACCAGAAGATTCATGTGATCTCCAAAACGCCCTTGACGAAGCTCACAGATGGTCTGTCTCCAATGATATTGAATTCAACGTCACCAAATGTAAAGTCGTATCACTACATCNCACTACATCACCCTGGTTGTTATTCCTGCACTCTCGGGCACAAAACTCTGCTCCATCCGAGAAGGAACTGGAAGCAATCATTCGCGCAGACTTGAGTTGCTTCACAAACTGTTCCATGACATCATCCATTGCGGTAAAACAGCTTGGACTGCTCGAACGTGTTTTTGGATCAATTGAACCGGTTTTGTTTCCACGTCTGTTAGCTACGTATATCCGTCCATACACCGAGTACTCAATTCAATCCTGGAACCCATGGCTGCAGCGAGACTGGAAGGCACTCGAACATCCGCAGAGACTGGCTACCAAGATGGTCAAAGGTTTACATTCCAAGACCTATTGCAAAAGCTTAAAGCTCTTGGGGCTATAATCGTATCAATATCGTCAAATCAGAGGCGATATGATCTTACTGTATCGGATTTTCCAACAGCCCAACCATCCATGTAGATCTCTTTTGGTTCTATCAACCAATGTTCGCCTCCGAGGGCATCCACTGAAGTTGGCACACCAAAAGAGCCGTCTCGACTGCAGACGCCATTCATTTGTTGTCAGAGTGTGCAGCNAATATATTCTCCTGTGCTCGTCAATAACATTACATTACTATTTTACTTTCATAGACTAATTGTGATCTTGTGAATCGTGTTCAGAACCACAGTGTGCCGACCCTATGGGATTTGATAAGCGAAGTCTCTGTAAGTTTTTTCCCATAATAAAAATTTGAATGTGAATCAAAATGTCACATATCTTGAAGGAATATTATGGTAAAATTCAACTTATACGTTCTTTTTGCGGTATTGCATGGGGCTCTCAGATGGGCGAAACAGAGTAAACGGTACGTGGCATGTGAAGAAGCATCTGAGCAGAGCAAACCCCGCTTTTGCAGGCAATACTGTTCATTTAAAGGGTACTTTTAAATTACGACATCTGGAGTGATTCGCGGGGGATCTAGTGGATATGCACATCATGCTAACATACATTTGTAACATGCGGGGCCCATGCACGACACGGATTTCAGTGACTGACAGATACATCAAATACCAAATATCTGACGCGTCTTTACTTCGCGGATGGGGGTACAACCATCAAATTGCTGATTAGTTGTGAATAAGGCGAGATGTGCCACATTGATATTTGATGAGCTATCTAAAAACTGTGTGAACTTCATTTGTCTGCATGTGAAACATTTGCCCAGAAAATCCTCGCTGACCCCAACCATCCTTTGCATGGTGATTTATCTTAATGCTGCTCTCATACGTCGACACGTTCTTCTTATCGAGTATTACCCTCTCGCATTAGTCTCTACAGAAATTCCCAGTTCCCTATCTTGCCAGAATCCTTGTAAACCGAGAGCGCGCTTCCTCAGAATTTCTCAGTAACCTTAAAGGCTAAATATTTTACTTGTATCTTTCCTTCTATTGATGAGATGTGTAAAGTTTTGACTGAAATGCGAACATTCTGTTCTCGCAAAAGTCTATACAAATACAAATACAAATACAATTGAGTGAAAGGGCGGGGGGGGGATGACGAAGAGCGGAAACATTGCCCGGGAACGTGATGTTCTTGGCAAGCTTCTTTTCTGTGAAACAGCAAAAGCGTCTGATGAAAGTGTATTGATGTACTGAAAGTAACCCGCTGCTGAAAAGTCCCTCGCTTCATGTGTCGTCCCATCTACTCGGTAAGGTCACTTAAACGAGGCACATAACCAAACTATTGGCCATTAGCAAGTATGAAACAATCCTACGGCCTTCCAAGTTGCAAAAGCTGGAGGTGAAATCTTGAAGCAACTATCCTGGGGACACCGATTGTGATTCTGTTCTCAAGACTATCTATGAATAATAGTTTCATCCACGAAGGCGGTGTATCTTCTAGCAGGAGACTTTGTAGTATAGAGGTAAAGGTAAACGATATACTGCGAAAAATCAAGCAAAAATGGGAAACAATTTGTTTTCACTCACTTCACTTTTCACTCGTTCCAGTAAATCGCCCAGTTCATCTGCAACGACAAAAGTAAACCATCAATTCAGTTAC